TATATATATAAAGCATGTGTTAAATCTATTCTAATACCATACATGACTAATGATATGGGATCTGGTGTTATATGTTCCATTCGCTGGGAATAGTATGCTATCACTGTCTGTTCTCCCGTAGTTCATTCTAAAGCCAGCTCCTGTGTTATTAATATATTCTTAGTAATTATCCCTACGGGACTGGAGCATAAACAGAATCTCAAATATATTTACGTAACCATAGCGGCTCGACCACGATCATGACTCTGCATAATCAGCTTGTTATGAATTTATTTCACAACTGAAATAATGGTGAAAGGACAGCTACCATCACAGCCGGGGGGGGGGGGGGGGGGGGGATTGGTGCGGCTATGAACCCATCGCATGCACTCGAGTCAGGGAAGGGGAGTTTGATCTGTGGAAATATGACTCTATGTTTCTTGAGAAGATTTCTTGAGAAGTACAGCATGCCTTTCTTATGACAGCTGATATTTACCACTTCTTTCCAGAGATCCAGGTACACATATGAGCTAACATTGCTCCCTAACATGTGCAGGAACTTTAGCACATGGAAGACATGTCCCTGATATTTTACATGTGCTGATGAGTCCAGGTTGTGTGCTTCAAGGGCCGACCATGGAGGAGCATCGATGTATTTTGTCTGTATTGTATATGTTTGTGTGGCATCCCTTACTATGCATAGGGTTTACATGGTTTCCTTTCAAAATTGTGTTGCAATTATAATTTTTTATTACAGGCGCCATCAGTTTAGATGCTGTACTTTGACATCAGTCCCTCTCTCAATGAGCTTATAATCTAAGGTCCCTGGTTCATATGCATACATACTATGGCTGATTTAGACAGAAGCCAATTAACCTTCCAGAATGTCTTTGGAGTGTGGGATGAAACCAGAGTACCCGAGGAAACCCACATTTTGGGGGCACAACATGTATCAGATTATAAAGCCCAACTCTAGTCCTACCAACCCACCCCAAGTCCTGTAGTCCTCTTCCTAGCGCCTTATTTCTATACATACATTTTACTCAGGTCTTCCTCACAAGTCGTCACATGCCGGATTCTCTTTCTCTTCCTCTCGGTTGAGCGCCATTGATGTTATGACGTCAACACCATTCTCTACAACATTGTGCTGAGCTCTGGGTGATGTGATGAAGCATTCCCAGGGACTGTGTCCATTATGTCCTTGGCAAAATAAAAACAATAGACTCATCCCATACACATATCTCTCACTCACCTTGTATAGTCTCAGGAGTGCACGCTCAGTACAGGCCATCACTCTGTAAAATATAGCTCATTTACTGCATAACAGCAATCAACGATGCGCATTTCGAAAGAACACAGGTCCTTTATGTCAAGACATGATACCCTGGGCTCACAGACTGGGTTGAACCAAGAAGGCGACCGGCTTTGGACCATGGAGCAGTGGGTCTTTGGGGTACAGCACCCCAGGGAAAGGTGAAAATTACAGTGAAAGCTGCAATTTTAATTGTAACAAAGACTAGCCTATTTTTAAAAAAAAAACTCTATTAGAATTGGGCTTTATATGAGGTCTTTATATGGCGTTTATACAGTATGAGACTTGAGGGGGAAACACATACGGCAATACAATCTGACATAGGAGCTAACATTTCCATTCCCTAATAGAAACATCCTTGCTGTCTGTGTCCGAAAATTTCCCTTTTCCTTACGGGCAGTCATTAAGTGGGGAAAGTCTTCCAAACAGAGGGAACATACAATGATCGCAAGTTCAAGAGGCGTAACTTCTCCTCTCTGTTCAAACAAAAAGTATATGCGGAGGGTAGACTTCTTTCGTACGTCCTTTTGTTATGATTTTCAAGCCTAACAAATAAAATATTTAGCATTCTCCTTTTGATCCAGCAGGTGGAGCTTTAGGCTAATTTTCACTTTTTCCAGAGTGGCAGTTCACTTCTTTGATGTAAAAAGCCTGACCCAAATCCATTCTACAAAGATGATCAGAGCTGAATGCAAGCAGGGGGTTGTCCTATGCTCCACAGTCTGCACAAACCCTCAGAAAAAGACTGCACTCAGAGAAAAATTCAAACTCTTGTAACTTTGTTCATCCACACACCATGAACAGACAGTCCCCGCCTGAGACCTCGTCCTCTGATGTGTTTCCCGCACAAGGATGGACTTAATCGTACCTCTAGAACTAAGCCCAACCTTGTGGGTGCCAGGCAGGGACTCTGTTCATGTAGTTCAGATGAAAAAAAAATGTCAGCGTTTGAATTTTTCTCATCGTGCAGCCAGGCTTTTACTTTGGATTTGTGCAGTCTGTGGAGCATAGGACAATCCCCTGTTAGTGTACGACACCCAATCTTCCATGAAGGTGACTTGATTAAGGGCTTGGTAGCAGCGCACACCCCCCAAAATCATTAGGCCCCTTCACATGATCCGATCAGGAAGGGATCAATGCATGGAGCCCCTGCTGATTGGAGCAGTTTGGAATGGATGTCAGCATTGTGGCATCTGCGTCCGTCCAGTTTTTTCATACATATTGGGATGGAGGAATAAAATGAAATTACCGGACCCATGTTGGTCTATGGGGAATTGGATGTAAAGGGGCAGATCCGGCATGATCAGGTCTGGCAAAACAGAACTCTGTTCTGCTTGGTTTTCCGGACATGGCCGGAGTTGGGGGTAATCGGATGTAAACGGATGTCTATCGGTTTAGATCTGCCTGCCTATAGACTAACACTGGGCTTCCCATCAGATTTACCTAAAAAGTGACCGAAAGCCCGTGTGAAAGGGCTCTTATAGTTATAGTCTTATGACATCATCAGCTATTGGGATGAAGCTTTCGAAGAAGCCAGTAAGAGTGACTCAGCAGGTGAACATTTTTGTGTTTCACCTTTTCTGGGTTTTCAGTTGACTTCTTTGATGCAAAAAGTTTAACTCCAAACCAATACAGTTTCCCTGTAAGATAATGGCGTCATAAGCTGTTGAGATCAAGTCATCAAAGAAGCCAGTAAGAGTGACTCAGCAGGTGAACATTTTCACGTTTCACCTTTTCCAGGGTGTCACTTGACTTCTTTGATGCAAAAAAATTTGACTTTAAACCAAAACCGTTTCCCTGTAAGTAGGGATGCACCGATAACGAGTACTGATACAGGTGCTCTCGCTAGCATGGAGCCGGCTTCCTGGGCTATCAGGAAGCTGGGCGGCCGGGAAGCTGGCTCTATGTTGCTTGGCCGGCTTGATTGTGATTGGCCAGGAAACCGGCTTCCCTGCCAATCAGTATCGAGCCAGCTTCCTGGCCAATCAGCAAGGAGCTGGCTTTTTGGCCGGCATGATGCTGATTGGCCGGGAAGGCAACTTCCCGGCCAATCAGCATGGAGCAGTCTTCCAGGCCAATCAGGAAGCCGGGGGGCGGATCATTACTCAACGCCCAGCTTCCTGATCGCACGGGAAGCTGGCTCCATGTTCCCTTACAGCACTGCCGGTCAGAGGAAATCTTCCTCTGACCAGAAGTTCCGATATCGGGGAAGGTATAGGAGCATTTGAGCGAGTACAAGTACTCGCCCAAATACTCGGTATCGGCACCGATACCGATACTAGCATCGGTCTCAGTGCATCCCTACTTGTAAGATAATGATATCTTCAGCTCTTGGGATCAAGCCATCAAAGAAGCCAGCAAGAGTGACTCAGCAGGTGAACATTTTCATGTTTAACCTTTTCCAGGTTGTCAATTGACTTCTTTGATGTAAAAAGCCTGACCCAAAACTATTACAGTTTCCCTGGAAGATAATGACATGATTGGCTGTTGGGATGAAGTCATCACACAAGCCGGTAAGAGTGACTCAGCATGTGAACATTTTCATGTTTGACTGGATTGTCCCTCCAGAAGATCCTCCAGAACAGTTCTTCAGATACGACCAAAGATATTGACCTGCTAGTTACTAGAATGCCACAATATGTTAGCAGTAAACGTCTTTACAGCTTTCACTCATTCCAGCATTTCTCATTTATCATCAGCAGTGTGAAAAGAAGTGAAAAGCTGGAGGTGGATCCAAACGTGTACTCCTTCCCCGATGTGACCAGTATCGTCCAAGAAAAGACAGACCGGGGCCAGGGACCCCTTCAGCTGCGCAGCTGCAGAGCCAGAGAAGAAAAGGAGAAAGATGGCGAGTTCACTGATAATGATGAGGTTCCACCTCTTCTATGACATGGAATGCACCTGCCACAGTGTGGACATTGTATTGTTTTACCCATCGGTTCACCAGCGGCTGCTCTACTCTGCATAGTGAGGTGAAGACCTTCAGTGGTCTGACTGAACCAATGCTGCTGTGTACTGTACACAGTAGAAAATCACCAGCAGATGAACTTAGAACATTTTATAGCTGAACTTCACACAGATATAAAAGACACAACTTAATGTAGCTCTGTGTTCATTAATAGAGAATTAAATGTATTTTTTTTTCCAAATGGAAGCAGTGCAAGTACCTGGATTTGACCGTGTATCAGCCTCAGCCACTGTACAACAGAGCTTAAACTAGGAGAGGGAGACTCAGAACAAGGAGCCAATCAGGTATGCTGCAGTATTCATATATTAACAAGGAGACACTGATAGGAGAGAGCAGGGTGGCCAAGAGATGTGCTCAAAGGCTACAGTTTCTCCTCCTACTGTCCAGTCATAGTCTGAAGTGGGACAAGTCCTTTAAGTGTTACTTAACTGCAGCATAGAAAGGTGAGGTGTAGCAAAGGTGTGTAAATCTGATAACTGGATTGACAAAAATACAGATCATCGCTTGGAGTTCATCTTTAAGGCCTTGTTCACACCAAATGCAGAGCAGATCCGCTCAGGTTTCTGCACACGCAGTGCAGTGGGTTTTGCCGCGTTTTTTAGTTTAACATGGGCTTTCAGTGCGTTCCAGGCATTTGTATGCGTTTTTGATGCGTTTGCATGCATTCCAGAGCAGGTGCAGAAAAGGTAAAATAGGGCGTGCTGCAGTTTTTTCACCTGCTCTGGACCTGCACACTGCGATGTGAACTGGAGCAAAAAATACCATTGGAATACATTGGACGCAGTTTTGATCCGGTCTGCTCTGCTCTGCACCTGCTCCGCGTTTGGTGTGAACAAGGCCTAAGGAGAATGATTAATTATTTAATTTAAATTATTTATTTTTTACAGAAAGAAAATCAAACAGTGAAAAAAAGTAAATAAAAAATAAAACTGGCAGTACACAAATATAAATCAAATACACAAAAAGGGAAAGAAATAACACTGAACTACCCTGAATCCACACCAAAACTCATTATTCCATTTTTTTTACACAAAACAAGAAAAATAATATTACAGAAAAAATGATCAAATACGCGCACACACACGCACACACACGCACTCACACACACACACACACACACGGGAAAGACAATACAAAGAAGAATTAAAGGGTTTCTAAACCCTGCGGTTTTTTTGCATATATCTAGTGCTAAATAGCAGTAGATATATGCAAAAAGTTTAAAAAGAAAAAAAAATGCTCTAAAAGCGCTTTAAACTTACCCGTCTTCGCTGCGCGCTCCCGCACAAGAACCGAAAATGCCCAGGCGGCCGCAAAGCATCTTGGGGCGGGCGCATGCGCAGTTTGGATTCTAGGCCGGGAGACGAGGAGAGACACAAGGTAAGTATATGGACGGCGTGCACCCGCATGCAGACACCGTGGGACAGGAAGTGCCAGCAAACACAGAGGAGTCAGCGCTGGATCGGAGACCCGCTGCAGCGCTGGAGAGAAAGCTGAAAAGAACAGGAAAGAAGAAGAAGATCGGATTAAGAAATGGTGCCTTCTATTAGTGGTTAACAGCGGTTCCCTCTATGTGATCCATGTAGCTAACAGTCCTACTTGGTTCATTCCTAAATATTATATTTTACCGTATGTAATCCCCACGACAGTTTCTGATTACTTTGTCTATACTTTCGAGGTTATTTAAGTATGTTTTCTGTTTCTTTTTGTAATGTCTATTCGAAAACAATAAAATTTTGTGGTAAAGGAAAAGTACACTTTGTTGTAAAGTGCTTGTACCCTTTAAAACCCAACCCCAGCATACATTTCACCCCCCTCCCACGAAAAAATTCCCTATCTTAAAACCCTATTTTACTTACTTCAAGCTGCGTTCATGTGACCCCGCAGCCCAGAGTCTTCTTGCCTTCCGTTAACATTCTGCTCATCTCCTCTTTGAGTGTCTGTGGCTCTATACACAAAACTAGACACGTGCAACAACAAAAAATTGTTTAGTTTTGTTTCTGATTTCATTTATTTCCGAAATCGGGCCCTGTATGTGTTTCGTTTTGGGTTTGACTCTATAAAGACATGGTTTGATGAGTTCAGTGTGGACACTTCCTACTGGATGTCCATTGGCATGTGTCCTCTCAGGATTTAGATTGGGATGGATATCAACAGAGGGGAATGATGGAAATCCTCTCAAACGCCATCGGACCTCTGGATTCTTGGTCTGCCCACCTGTAAACAGTGGCGGTGGGGGTCCTAGAAGGGGAACTTAGGTGAGTATACCTAACTTCACACGGTAAGGGAAAAAAAAAAGCCCATCAGGATGGGTTAGAGATGGATGCAAGGGAGGGGTGGGAAAAAAATACTTTTTGATCAGAATTGGATTTTAACTCATCTTTGGTTACAAAAAGGGAGCAGAATACCAAAATTAGAAAATGTAAATATAAAATAATGTATGTATAAAATGGCATATAACTAAGTTTGACAGTTCATCCCGTAAAAAAAATACCTACTGGCCAAGAGGCATTTCCACATGTAACCTAAGGTCAGTCCTCCTTTTATAGCAAAATAACTTTGTAAATATTATTTATAATTAATCCCGTTCCACTTTGTACAGCCACATGAAGTATTTATTGTCTGGGTATTTTGCTTGTTGATGCTGAGAATTCTCTACACACAGAAAGGAGAGTAATCTAGAAAATCTGGAACAAAACAGAAGAAGCTATTCATACACAATAGAGCTAAAAGTTTGTAGACACCCAACTATTAAACCCGTATAAGCTTGTTGGACATCCCATTCCAAAACCATGGACATTAAAGCGCACCTTTACCCAGATCTTTAAAATAACAACAAACACACCTTTAGAAATGATTAGTAATGACAATCTACACACACATACTTCTAGATAACTGCCAGCTTTGTATTCTTTGCATTCCTTATTTCTCTTTTCTTTCCCAGTCTTCTGACAGTGGCCATGTTAACTAAGGGCAGATTACTAGCTTTCCTTTTACTTCCTGGATTTCTGGCACATGTGACTAGACATGTGACTAGGACATGTGACCATGCACATCATCCCAGAGGAGGAAAATGCGTTTCCCTGAGATCCCATGAGATTACAGATGAGATTTCCCAGCAATGCTCTGCTGATGACAAGGCAATCCCGCTGTGCATTGCTTTGGTAAACCAAAGTCATTTTGCCCTTTCAAAGCAGGAAGTGAATGCTCTGCAAGTGTAAGTATTTCACAATCACAGCATTTTACACCTGACATGTCTATGTTATTATTAATCATCATACATAGAGGGATGCATTGGTAGAATTTGATTTTTAAGTGTAAAGGTCTGCTTTAATATGGAGATGGCTCCCTCCTTTGCAGTTATGACAACATCCATACTGGGAAGGCTTTCCACAGGATTTTGGAGTGTGTCTGTGGGAATTTGTAGCTTCAGTACCGGTACCATAGATCGAGTGACTCATGTATGCTGAAGTGTGTAGCTGATGGTTGACTAACAGCTTAGTCGCTAGAGATGAGTTGGGTTTGGCGCAAATTCAGTTCACCCAAGCCTGATCAAAACTGGGCCGTGGAGGCATCCCCTGCCCCTTTGTAAAGTATAGCTGCGGGGCAGGAAATGTGCCTCTTTGCAACTGATTGGGCCAGAAGGAGGGGGTGACTATTACAGTTTTGAACTGGCTTTGACAAACTCAGAGGAACTGGGTTCACACCCACCCCAGGCTCATCACTTTTTGCACGTATTGTATGTTGCATACAGTACCCTCAGGGCTGGATTATTTACTCTCTCTGCTGCCCCAAGGCCAGGTTCCTCAATACGCCAAGCCCCCCCCCCCCCAATGGAGAATGACAACCAGATGGTGGGGGCGGCAGGGTTAGTTAAAAAATTTTCTTTAACCACTTTAATTTTTCAATTTGTATTAATTTGTTTATTTTTCAAAATATTTATCTTATTATTTTTTACTTTTTGACCTGCAGGTTGCATACAAGTGATCTTGGCGACATTAAGCCATTATCACACTTCCAGGCCGAGCATGCTTTTTTTGGCTGCAAAAGCTAGGGATTTATAGTCCCGACAGATGGAAGTTTGCCATTACAGGTTTCTTTTCCCAGCATGCCCCGCCAGCAGTCCCCTTCTACAGTGTACGGCACACTACTGCGCGCTAACAAATGTTATCAATAAACCTCCGTGAATGAAAAATGAAAAATATTCTACATTTCCCGTAATTACCTGTAATGTATTTACACAGCACAATTAAACTTTCTGAATGTATAATTAGCAGCATGCATTCTGCATACTCAGTATGAACAGCCTGGAGAGTTTCTGTGCCGTGCTGTAGCAGATATAATTAACTATGATTACTGAAATTGTATAGAAGTGGAATACAAGCTTTTTCTAAACACGTGTATGAAGTAAGCAACTCCTACAAAATAAATGTTTCTGTTTTGGGTGGCATGGGGTAAAATTTTATCTCCTGCTTGGTCTTAAAGCAGACCTTGCATCAAAATGCTTGGGCTTTGTAGGACTCTTGAACTCTTTTACCCTGCCTACTCACCTTACACCCCAAATTCTGACATTGGTGGCTAGGTGAGGGTGATGTCACAGGCTTTTTGGCAAGCACATGGGATCTCAAATCTTACGAAAAGGCAATTCCACACTGTACTGGAGCTCCTTCTTAATGTCCTGGAGGGTTGTCTTCTTCATTTCCTGGAGGGTCTTCTTCTTCATTTCCTGGAGGGTCTTCTTCTTCTTCATGTCCTGGAGGGTCTTCTTGTCCTGGAGGGCCTTCTTCTTCATTTCCTGGAGGGTCTTCTTCTTCTTCATGTCCTGGAGGGTCTTCTTGTCCTGCAAGGCCTTCTTCATTTCCTGGAGGGTCTTCTTCATGTCCTGGAGGCCCTTCTTCTTTTTGTCCTGGAGCGTCTTCTTCTTTTTGTC